CCCCCCACTCCCCTGCCTCCTGTTTCACTGCAGGTAGGATCTGCTTCTGGATCCTGCAGCTCTTCTTGGCCTAGAGCAGATCTCAAGTGGCTTGAGGAGACAGAATCTCCATGAAAGCTACTTCCCTCCTGGAGAAGCCCGGTGAAAAAAACAGACACATCTCTGTCCTCACAAGGCATACAGTTTGGGAGGTTTAATGAGAATAAAATGAAAAGATCATCATTCAAGTGCTACGGTTCAAAGCATATGAGAACGAGGCCTTCTTTCACTTGTGATTTTAGCTATGTCTGATAAAAATCTTATGAAAGTGTATTGCTTGGCTCCCTGCCTCCTTAAACAGTGTGTGTTAGGGTACTCCAATCTTAACCAGAGGTCTCAGCTTTGCCATTGGACCCATAAAGTCTAACATTTGCTGCATTATAATGATTTCTGAGAGGTGTATCAACCTCTTTATGACCACATTAAGTGGTCCTTGGCTACTATTATTTTTCTTTTTTTAATTCTTTTATCTGCCAGTTCAATTGCCTTGGTTTGCTGGCTGTGATGATATGTTAGCATATTGTCCCTATGACACCCCTCCCTTTTAATTTATTATGGTACTAATAACCCAATAGTCAAATTTAATGCATTTTTTTCTTTTCAGGTTTATAATAACATGTATATTTATTTATATCAAAATAATAAAATTCAAACATTATAGAAGGGCTTATAATAACACACAGTTGTTCTTTGCCTCACCCCTGTGCTCCCCAAGACCAACTCCCCATTGCCTCTGAGGGCAATTTTCTGCCTTTTCTGGATTGTGATGTATAAGCTGATATTCACATGCACAGAACAGTCACGTAGCATCCCCAGGGTTCTGCACACACACTGTATGCATCTACATCTCTTACTCCTGTTAAAGAAAGCACGTCAGAGTGTGAAAGTGACATTATTTTAGTGGTACCCTTGTATCCACTCACTTACATGCATAGAAGATCATTTACATGCTATCGGTTTTGAGAGATTATTAAAAAGAAGACATGATGTCACCTCAGCTTGTAGTGCGGCTGCCCAGGTGAGATCACAGGCGTGTGGGATAAAGCCCAACCTGGTTAGGTGGTACCAAGGCTCTTTAGCACCTCTCCCTCAATGTTAAGTGACCCTTTCTGATCTGGACACAGTGTCCCAGGTCTGGTAACTGGACTTGTCTTTTTCTGAGCCCTAGTACCCAATATTGTCCCTGAGCCCTGGCTGTGCCCTCATCTGCCTTTGCCTCTCCTGTGGACTGAATCCCCTCCCTCCAAACTGCAGGCTGGTGATTTGCGGCTTGCTGGCCACCATCAAGCATCTGTGATGCCCTGCCTCCTTCCTGAACTTTCAAGCACTGTCCTTTTCCTTCTCATCACCACCATGGTCCATCCACCATGATGCCCTTCATAGGTCTCAGATCCCCCATCACGTAAAGTCTTCAAGGACTTGGACTGAAGGAGCTGGTCTCCTCCAACTGTGTTCTCTGCTCCCAGACAGATCCCCTTCCAGGGCACCTGTGATCACCCTGGCCCACCCTTTGTTTGCCTGTCTGGTTACAGCCAGCCATGCAGGGCAAGCCGGGGCTCTGCACTATAGGCCAGCCTGAATGGAATTTGAGGACGTCAGGACCACCTGTGGTCGTGGAAGGGTCAGTGAAACCTAGCTGTGAAGAAGTGGTCTGGAGTCAGATTGCCACGTTGAGAAACATGGCTCAGCCGCTCACTTGCTGTGTGACCTGAGTCACTCACTGTGTCTTGTCTTGGTTTCCTCAACAGTACAATGGGTCTAAAAACCTACTTTGCAGAATTGGGTGAGGACTAAATAAAAAATGTTTGTAAATATTAATATAGCACTTAAGAAAGGTTAGCAGCTATTGCTGATGTTATTTTTATTACAGAATTGTGTGAGGATTAAATAAAAATGGGTGTAAGTATTAATATAGCACCTAAGAAAGGTTAGCAGCTATTGCTGATGTTATCATTACTATCAGTGCTTTTTTTCGTTGGGGCCATAGCATAATCCTACCATGCTCATTGCTCACTAATTTCAGAGATAAACCCTCCTAGTCCTCAGTTCCGCACTGAGCAACCCCTGAATATATAGCAACAGCCACAGATGAGCCACAGGAAGTGGCCTGTGAGCAGCAGAGATTTCCAGTCTCAAAGCAAAACATCACTTCTACTTAAGGAGGGCCAAGCTTCCCAGATTGGGATTTATTAATAAATTATGGGCAGGCTGGTGGGGTGAGAAGCCAACAAAAGAGAAAAAGAAGATGTCTGAAGAGCAACGGGAAGGAAGGAAGAGGGTAGAGCTGAGCAGAAAGAAAGCAAAGAGAAGCAAGGTGAAAAGGAAATACTGAAGAGAGAGAAAAGGAATACATCATTATACAGCACAGGTGCAGGCCGTGGTGAGCAACTGCGAAGGTGTGTGCAGCCTTAGAAAAGGGAGGTCGAGGTGGATGGATGAACAGCCACACAGCCCAGGAAAAGATCTAAAACGACAGACAGAGAAACAAAGAACCAGTAAAGGACTAAAAAGCAACTAAAAAGGCTGACTGAAATTTTAGAGGACGTTTTGCATTCTTGATGCACCTTTTAATTTTAAGCAAGTCGACTGCTGCCTCTGTGGTATTGAAATGGAAATGAAAGTGGGCTTCGTGCTTGTTCCCAGCTGTGCCCTCAAACATCTCACACCAGGCTCCTCATTTACAAGAGCATCCTGCTCCATTTTCAGAGCAAAACACATCTCCCGTGTGCCATACACACCTCCCTTCCCACCGTGCCTCCACTGTTTGGTGAGTTTCATCAGGCATGTTAAAATCCCGGGATGCTCCCTACTCAACCATAGCCAAAAAGAATGCTCCGAAGTTGGGTCTTTCTTAGAGGGAAAGCTACGTAAGTAACAAAAGTCTTGCTTTTCCCACTAATGACAATAAAATCCATTCCGATTGTTACCATTTAGCGCCTCCAAAAAGGCAGTGAAATATTACTAATGCTTAGTTTCATTGTGTGCATTCCAGAAGTTTTAGCTGTGGTTTTGATTCCTTTGAACCCCTGCTGACAGGGGCTGGGTGGTGGGAGAGGAGCAATCATTTCCTCTAAGAACTGTATTTGATGATGATGTATAAACAATGACATCTTCAGTAAGGGATGAGTGACTGGATATTGAGCTCATAAATACAGCTCGACAGTGGAGGATTCTGAAAGATGCCCGCCGAAGTTTGGGGACTGTCGTGCAGCCACGAGAATATCACACGGGGGCCAAAATCTGTTACTGTACCCCATCCCACCCCATGTCACTGGGATAAATAGCACTGAGGCTTACGTATGATCAACATTAATCTAACACAATCAATAATTCAAATATTTTGAACCTGTGTTGGGGAAATGAGGAAATGAACTGAAGTAAGTGAAGAAATTGACCTTAGTTCACTTTGTGTTCAAGTGTGGCACAGCAGTTAGGAGTTAGGACCCCGGAGCCAGGCTGTATGGGTTCAAATCTCACTTCTATCATTTACTACTTTTGTGGTTTTGAAACAAATTACTTAACCTCTCTAAACCTGTTTTCCCGACTGTAAATGGGGATAAGCATGTGTCTACTTTATGAGTTATCATAAGGAT